TGTGCAAAATTCACGAAGCACTTGCGACACTCGCATCTACACTGCACTTTTCTGGTATTGGAAATTGTAAACTCATTAGTAGGTAAACTCGCACCAACTTTACGACGTTTCTCGATTTACCTTCTGTGACATACATCATCAGCATCAGTACAGGTAAACTGAGGGTGAGAAACACACCTTAGCTAATGTTCCGCAGTACAAAAAGATAAGAGACTAAAAATTACACCAATTGCACTACAAACAACTATGGTGTTAACTATTACATTGTGTGTATTATATGGGATCGGGATTGGAGGGGAACCTAAAGGAAGGCAGATGGGCAAAGAAACGCACAACACAAACGCCATTGGGGCCGGTTCTTCGCCATATCAGCAAGTGCGTCCAACCACATGTGTTCATCGTCCTTAGGATCCCAGCCAGGCAGTCGGGATGCATCAAGCGACGCCAGTTTCTACGTGAGGGTTTTCATCCCTCTCGATCAAGGCATCGCTTGGCTTCCCCTGCTCCTCTTCCAACCGCACCCCCAGCGCGCAAACAATGCACGTCGCGGGAGTCGGTGTGCTGGCATGCGCAACACGTGGCTTAACCATCGGAGCCTGGTGCGTCATATAATGGTGCTTAGCGGTTCACTCGCTCTTCCGGCACCAAATACGCGACGCCGAACACGCTCATTACTCAAGCGATGCTCCTGCCAGACATGGGCTAAGCTGCGAAGGCAACGATGATCGAACGTGATCAGCATCTTTATGTCTGTCGACCTGATGGACCAGGTTTCACAACCATATAGGAGGGTTGAACGGACAGCTGCGTTATAAACTCCGCCCTACAGGGCTAGAGTAATGGCGCGTCTGCGCCATAGGTGGCGGAGACAGGCAAAAGCTCCTCGAGCTTTTGTTATACGGTACGTAACGTCATCTTCGATCCTACGAGCCCTAATATAGCTGTCCAGGTACTTGAATTCCTGAACGATTTCTAGCTGATCACCTCTAAGCGTCAGCGCTGGGATGGGTCCCTGCCAATCTTGGAGAAGAAGTTTGCATTTCGATAGAGCAAAGCATAACCCAAAACGATTGACAGTCAGTGCTAATCGGTCCAGTGCAGCCTTGTACGTTTGGGCGCTGTCACAGCTTAGGACACTATCGTCCGCATACTCCAAGTTTAGAAGTCGTTCACCAGGAAGTAGCTCTACACCTTCTAGATCGTGTCCAGCGATCGCTGTTTCCATTACTTCGTCAACTGCGAAATTAAAGAGGAAAGGTGACAGCGGGCAACCTTGTCTCGCAGCGCTGATGATACTGAAGGGTGGTGACAGTTTGCCATCAACTCCTTCTCTTCCTGAACTATGCGCATACAGCGCTTTGATAATGTTTACATATTTATCAGGCACGCATTTTCTCAGCAGACAGTCCCAAAGCGCATATCGATCAACCGAATCGAAGGCACCTTTGATGTCGAGAAACACGACAACGGTGGGTCGCCAATAAACATGGCGGTGCTCCAACAATTGACGCAATGTGAACATGTGGTCGATACAGCCTCATTTTTCACCAAACCCGGCTTACTCTTCGCGGATCTGGTCTTTACGAGCGCCAGTCAGTCTGTGGAGAACGACAGACGCAAGCAATTTAGAGGCGATTGGGATCAGACTGATCCCTCTATGATTGCGGCATTCTGAAGGGGAGCGTTCCTTGAAAACTGGAACAATGACGGAACGGCTCCAGTCTGTCGGGACTGTTTCCTGTTCCTAAAGTCCCATTAGCAACTTGTGTAAACCACCCACAAGAGTAGTTACCCCGAATTTGTAGAGTACAGGGGAATTCTATCTACACCAGCGGGCTTATGCAATTTCAGCAGGCTGATCTCACGTTCGACTTTTGCACATGAAGGCGGATCTAAGGAGACGGTCCATGGTGAAGGGTACTCAATGTCCGAAAGAGAAAGCGATAACCCAGATTGGTTAAACTGCTTTGCAAAGTGTTCGGCCCAACGCTCCAAGCGTTTTGACAAGCTGTGGATCGGCTGTCCACTCTCGTTGCGTATGGTCTCGCTAACACCATGTCTCCTGCTGCCTGTTTCTCCTATCAGACGGAATAACTTACGATGATGGCAGCGGCTGTTTCCATTTGCGATGCACGATGAGAGAACCAGGCTTCGCGGTTTTTCTTCAGGCTAGCACGCAGTTTTGCTCTGAAATTTTTGCGAGTGTCATTGTATTCGCTTGCAGCAGGACCACGTCGGTAAGCGTCCATAAGTTCAAGAGACTGTGTAGAGACCAAAGGTCTAGGTTGGCAATTTGATTTGCCACATGAAGACATGCCTGCTGACAGTAACGTCTGACGAATATGCGATCAGTGATATTCGACGGTGTTTAGTGGACGCTTACTCAGCCCAGATTCCAGCGTAGTTTGATACGCATTCAGAACACTCAGCTTCGCCGTCTAGCTGGTCTCAGTACACTCAGAGCGACGTTGCGGAAGTCCGACGAAACGCACCCACAGGTCGACACACACGAGAGCGTGATCGGAGTCCACGATGATGCTCCAAATCGAGCGACAGTTTTGGACACAGTCTCTCCAGTGGTAACTAATCACGATGTGCTCGATTTGCGTCCATGGCTGTCCCGAGACTGGCGGACGCCAAGTCACACTTCTGCGGGTGCTGTGTCGAAAGTTAGTGCTCGCGAAAAACAGACGACACCTTCACACAGGTGTAGTAACCACTCACCGTTATCATTACGGGAGCCTACACCATGTTGGTTGCCCAGATGAAGCTCATCAGAGGACAATTTTCCGACTTGGGCGTGTTGATTACCAGAAAGCATCACAGTACCTGTGCTTCTTTTGTAACGAAGAAAATCGTTAACTTGGTGACAGAAATAATCATTCACCGAATCAATGCTGCAGTTTGTGGGGACGTAAGCCGCAATGACAAACAGACACCGTTTGTCCTCGCGCAACTAAGAAGCCTGGGAGGAGCCAGCCAGCCTAATGGCGCATATCCGGCTGTTGACAGGGGTCCAGTCGATCAGGGCAGCTTCAGCCCCGGGACGCAAAACAATGCCGACGCAAGCTTGACCTGTACTTGAAGCTGCATCGTCGCCCGACAGGCGCAATGAGAATGTGCCGCCAGTATCGCATGTGGGGGATCGCAGATTAAGCACAGGGGTGGAATCATGCACGCGGGTTTCTGATAAACAGCAAATATCGATCGATAGAGTCTTTAGTTTTCGGGCAAGTGCTGCCTGTTGACCAATCTGTAGCAAAGTGCGCATGTTGAGGCATGCCAGTCTTAGCGAGACTCGAGTACTCCAAGGGGAAATGGATGAGCTGCCGTTGTCCGCTTGGTTGAACATGGACTTGTCGACTGGATTGGAGCGACGCCCTGCGATTGTGTGTGAGTTGAAACTAGAAGACTAGTGACTATTGAAGCAAGGTGGGGGAGAGCCAAGAATTGGGGGATTGAAAACGGTGGGATGAAAGTGAAGTTGGAACTGGACGCTTAGGATGAAAAAGCGCAAGAAGGAGGAATAAGAAGACGGGAAGGTTGAGCAGTAGCATCCAAATCCCTGTCCACTATGCTCGATGCAGTAGATAAGGCGCCGTTTATTATCCTCTGCGACGGCCAGAGCATCAAGGTCATGGTGTATTGCGTGGGCAGTATACTTTCAGATTGCCCAGGCCTAGACAGGAGAACGAGTAAGGTTTTCAACCAAAGCCTTTGGTCCAAAACCTTAACGCGATATCGTGGGTTTGGCGTTGGGCTACAAGGAGTCCGTTTTAAGGAGTAAAGAGCAATCCTCGCTCCAACCCCCCAAGCTGGAGGACCAGGAGACTGAGTTTGCCTGTCCTGTAACCGTTGACCAGTCTGTTATGAGTTTCACTGGGGGGTGCTCAAAAGCACCACGCAGCACAGCTTAATGAATCTCTGAGGCATACGAACCATCGCACCACGTTAAGTTCCAGTCTCGCCGCGATGGTTCCGTGTCTGTACGGTATGGTTGTTTTTGATGCTTGTAATAGTGCATCCTGTCAAAATGGGACTCGGTTGACGATGCGGCACCAAATCTGGCCGGACAAGGTTTCTTGGTTGGTGTTGTGCCAGTTATCAAACTCTTCTATAACGACGTTTTGGTGATACCGTCCGTTGTAATGTTTTAAAAGAGGTAGGATGTCACTGCAAAGTTTCGCCTTGTGTTGAACCCAATGTAAGGTCTTCAGGATTGCTTAGAACACAGATGGCCTGGTTTCCGAGCCACACGAATGGTGGACTATACAACCTTTCTGATTCTCTCGTTTTCCTATTTAAAGGGAGAATAGGCATCATTTTGTCTCACTCTTCCCACTTCAAACCAGCTCATTTTTACTGTAGATTCAAAGCGTTTGTATTTCCGCATTCATTCTACTGCATCATATCAATTAGGCTAACGCTTTCGCAGCAGCCTATCGCTCATTACCAATGGGGATATACAAAATTCTGGTCCTTTTGGCAGCGCGTTTAGCACTGTATTGTCAGTCTGTTCGGCGTGTCCTCCGTATTAAAAGTTTTTTTGATTGTTTGCTTAGAAACACGTTTGCCGTATTGCGCATAATACAAAGTTTGTACTATTTTCATGAGAAGTTTAGTTGGTCAGCCATATATAACGACCGGAATGACATTAGTTGCAGTTCATCTAAAGAATATCAAACTCACGGCAATCTTAAGCATTGCTTCCTTTATGCTTTCAGTCATCCATCCTCTCTCTACAATTCGATGTGCTTTCTGTGAATAGGCTACAACTTCGACAGATTTTGTCTGTCACTTTAATTATTGCTTAAACTGCTGTATTTATGACCAGACGCTGATGAAAAGTGCTGGTAATTTTTTCCATATGTTTCCTTCTTCTTCTAGGTGTCAATGTACCAAATGTCCGTGCTTATGTTGTACAACTCCGCCCTCGTACACTCGGTCGGAAGTATTCAGTCTCAAACCTCCATTGAATTGCCAACCTTGCTGCAAATTTTACACATACTGTTAAAAGCCAAAGTGTTAAAGGTGACTGATGAACCAGTTTCTGGTCACTCGGCTCTCTCTGCCGATGCGTTGACGACTCCTGCAATCTCTTTGCTCGCAGAAGACTCATCCGACTTACAGCTAACCACGGAAACTAATCTGGCTTTGTATACAACTTATAAGAAGTATGTCTCATCAGTCCAACTTTACTTCATTTTGTCACATCAGCATATCATTTGATAAGACGCCTTAATTCTTCATCGATGTGCGTGTACCGACTGACTGTAACCTGATGTTTCGCTTTCCTCTCCATTCCTAGTACTTGCATTTTTTCGAATTTGAACATTTCTTTTGTTACCAGCGTCACTTTTGTCCTTGTTTGGTTGCCGTCTCTGTCTACGGGCATATCTCAAACACTCTTCGTTGGTATTTGATAGCCCTAAAATCATCATCATCATCA